TGCCCCTGCAGTATTGTTCCCACGCAGCCTAAAGGATCTTGTGATAAAACCTAAATCAACTCACATCCTTCCTCAAAACTCTCCCACGGTCCCATTTCACTCTGAGTCAAAGCTAAGTCTTTGATTGTGGCCCTCAGAGCAGACACAGTCGGCTCCCTGCCTAACTCTCAGGCCTCATCCCTCCCACTCTCCAACTTCCCTGGGCTCCTCCTCCTTCCTCCAACAAGCCAGGTACACTCCCGCCTCAGGGCCTTTGCACTGGCTCTTCCCTCTGCCTGGACTGCTCTTTCCCCGGAGATCCACCTGACCTCACCTCTTTCGTGTCTCTGCTCAAATGTCACCTCCTCAGTGAGGCCTTCCCTGTCCATTCTATCTTTTCTTAAATGTTTTTATGTTTCTTATATGTTTTCAAGTCAAAAAGTTTGCCCACCCCTGGACTAAGTGTATTTCATTTTTTTTCTTTTTTATATTTTATTGAGTTTTCACAGAGAGGAAAGGAGAGAGATAGAGAGTCAGAAACATCGATGAGAGAGAAACATCGACCAGCTGCCTCCTGCACACTCCCCACTGGGGATGTGCCCGCAACCAAGGTACATGCCCTTGACCGGAATCGAACCTGGGACCTCTCAGTCCGCAGGCCGACGCTCCATCCACTGAGCCAAACCGGTCTCGGCGACTAAGTGTATTTCTTACTGTGGGTCAAAAAGTTTGCAGAACCCTGCATAGAACAGTCCTACCTCTCTTAGATCCCATGTACAGACTGGATAGATGATGCTAGTATCAGCTCTTCACTGGGACCCATGCTAAGTGGTCTTACTTCCTTTGGCTCCTGGATTTCTCACCACCCACTTGACAGATAGGAAGACTGAGGCTCAGACTAGAGAAAGCTCATGCCTGAGGTCACCGGGCTGGGAAAGAGAAAATCAGGGCTTAAGCCCCAGCCACCTCCCTCTCTCCTGCGCCTACCCAGTTGCCCGCTTGCCCTATCCCTCCCACTTTGCTCCCCACCTACACAAAGCACTCAAGTGTGCCAGCCTGTCCTCAGAGCCCCCGGGTGCAAGCTGCCTCGTAGATCCTCCAACAGTGCAGCCAGCAGGATCGTTTTCACTCCCATTTTGCAGGCTAGCAAACTGAGGCTAGAAAGCATTTCCAAGAATCGACCATTCTATCCCCCTCTCCAGACTCCCCTCTTGGAGAAGCAGGAGAGAGCAGTGGCTCAACACGTGTCTTTCCCCCCGCCCTCGGTTCAAATCCCATGCTTCCAAGCTTTGTAGCTGTGTGATCCCAGGCAAGCTCTCTGAGCCTCGGTTTCCTTTTCTGCAAAACAGGAATAATAATAGTATCTGCCCCCAAGGCCGTGCTTAAGACTTAAATATGTTGGAATAAGTGCAAAAGTATTAGGTCAGCAACCACACCCCTTTGTTGGAAATCTTACCTGCATCCCCGTGTAATTGGACTACTATTTGCCCCTGAACTTTGTCAACGAGGCTCTTTCTTTTCTTTTTTTTCTTTTCCTTATTTATTATTATTATTATTTGTTATTATTGTTATTATTATTATTATTATCTGCCTTCTGCATGCCCCAATCAGTAATTGAACCTGCAACCAAGGTACATGCCCTTGACCAGAACCGAACCCGGGACCCTTCGGTCGGAAGGCCAGCGCTCTATCCACTGAACCATACCAGCTAGGACAAGGGAGCCCTGTCTTGAGTTAATACAGCTAGAAAGCGGGAGGGTCAGACTTGGGATGCAGGTCTGCCTGGCTTTTCACCACCGAGTCACAATAGTCCTTTGGGATGTTAGTTTCGACAGCGACAGCAGCGAGATTTTCCAAATGAAGGAATGTTAAGACTCAGAGAGAGTTAAGGACATGCCCGAGTCACACCGCGTGTAAATGGCAGGCCCAGGCTTTGAACCCAGGCTGTGTGTCCCGATGCAGGCTGACTTTGGTCCCAGGGTCCCCTCCAGAAAGCTCTGATCAGCCGGAGGGAAAAGCAAGTTGAGGGTCGCCCTTGTCCCAGCTCAGTCGGATGGTCTTGTATTCCTGGCTCCGGCCCCTGCCCAGCCTCCGGTGGCTGCTTCCCTGAAGACGCCAGGCTGAGGGTACTGGGGTGGCGCGGATGATGGCAGAGGGTGCAGCAACCCCCTCCACACTGGCCTCTGATTGGGGCCCTGCAATCCCCCAGGATTTGGTGCTTGGAAAGCTGACGTTGGGTTGCTATGGCAATGGGTTTGGGGCGGTTACCATAGCAGCAGAACTAGCCTGGGTTTAAAAATATCTAGGAGGAGGTTTGTGTTTGTGTGTGAGTGTGAGTGCGTGACCGACCATGCTGTTGTGTGTGTCCAACTGGGAGGGCTTGGGGGGACTGTAGAGCTGGGGCTGCAGGCATGACTAGGGGGTGGGGGCTGAGCTGCTCACGGGACTCCATGTGTGTTGTGTATGTTGCTGAGTGATCTGTGAGGTCCCCTGTATTGTGTGCCTGAGGCTATGTGGGACATGTATCCAAAGGTGTGTGATTACCCACTTTGCGTGGAAGACACACTTGAGTCTGTGTGTCAGTGTCTTTCACATGTCACTAACATGTATGCCTTATGTAACATGGGTTGTGCTGGTTCGGTGGCTGCAATCATGTACTCCGAACTTCTCAGGGCGTGTGTGGCCAAGTGTGGAGTAGTTTTGGCTCTGAATGTGCGCACCTGGGAAATACTCAGATATCAGCTGTGCATGTGTCTATTTGTGTGTGAGTGCCTGTGGTACGGCTTTGGGTCTGCATGACTGAATGTGCATTATGCATTATTAAGGAGTGTGTGTGTGTGCACCCGTGTGCCTATCCCCCATGAGTCTTCTTCATACATCAGAGTGTGCCTATGTGAAACTGTTGAGAGTGTGTACCTGTGTGTCTGCAAGAGGGCCTGTGTGACTGGGACCGGCGGGATTTCACACCCAGTCCCATGGATGTTGAAATATGTACCTGTGTGGTGTGTGTATATGTGACTCAAAGGGTCTAGGTGTGGATCTCCGCCTGACCCCAGTATCTCCCTGCATCCCTCTGCCTCTTCTCCGTCTCCATGGCAACCAGCTCCTCAGCTTCCTCCAGGAAGATGGAGGGGGAGGATCCAGACTGCAGTGGACCACAACCCCCTACGATCCCCCTTGGCTCTGGGGACAATAGGGGGAGGGGACAGATGGGTGGCCACCCCATCCACCTCAGGCCATCTGCTACCCTCTCCATCCTGGGGACCTGAGAGCATGGCAAGGGAGGGGGGGCAGCAGTGGGATGGAGCAGAGGGAGGAGCCCCCCCACCCCCACCCCCGGCTGCCACAATCACCCTCACTCAGGTCTCTTCTGAGCCTAATCTTGCCTCTGGCTGACCTAAGGAAGGAAAGAATCCTTGGAGACCAGGAATCCAAGGAAAAGAACATTAATGGATCAGTGAACGTTGACTATTAACAATGATCAATTCCAAGGAAATACCCCCTACTTTCAATGATTTTAGGCTCTGAAATTAAACTTGTCCATCATTCAAATCCCAGTTTCCCCCTCTGTCTATCCGTGTGCCCTTGGACGAGCCACACTCCACGCTCCTGGGCCTCCACTTTGTCATCTGAAAAGTTGTTTTTCTTCATGACATGAATAGTAACACTTGACAAGGGGCGACTGTTTTGTCCCCCGGCGTTGTAAGGGACAGTGCCTGGCACTTAACATGTTGATTGAATTGAACACCAGTGGTGCGCTAGGCTCAGAGCTACACGCTTTAACTCAGGTATTCATTGAATTAATACCCAGGGGCCTTGCAGCAACCCTGTGTTAATTCTTCAAGGAATAAATGCAAAGTTTCGAGGAGGAACGTCCCAGCTGAGGTGGGAGACTTGTGACGTGGGATTTCTTATCTCGACCAAGTGATGTCCGGTTGCTGAGGCTAAGTTTCCTCACCTGTAAAATGGGAATAATGAGAGCACCTAAAGGAGCTGGTTGCTCTGGGGATTCCATGTGATGTTTGTGCAGCGCTTACTTAGAACCGGACCGAGCACATAGCAAGTGCTCAGTAAACGTGCTTTACTGGCGAGGGGCGGGGAAGTGTTGCCTGAGTCCCGGTCCCACTGTAGCCTGGGGGAGCTGGGTCCCTCGGGCAGACGCGGGAGGGGCGTGGTCAACACATAGGGGCGTGGTCTAGGCTTCAAGGACAGGCCAATGGGGGCGCTGAGGGGCGTGGCCTTGACCGGCATGGGTGTGGCCTTGCGTGGGTGGGCGGGGCCAGGCCGCGGTGGTGACAAAAGATCCCCCCGCCCCGAGCAGGGTCTGGGGGGCTCGGCCCTCCTCCCGGGGCAGCCAAGAAGGGAGCCCCATCCCTCCAGTGGCGCGGCCAGTCCCCGGGCTCCCTGATTTCTAGAGAGACCCCACCCCTGAGTTTCCTCCGGACCCCATCGGAGACCCCCTGGGCCCTCCCATACGGCTCACATCCGTTCTCTTGTCTCTGTCAGCCCCCCAGAACCAGCTCCCTCCCT